AATATATATATACATATATATATATATATATATATGTATATATATATATATATATATGCAGTGTAATTTGTGTGGTTCCAAACATATAAATTTCAAAAACAGGCAAAACTAGTTTAAGGCGAAAGAAGTCAGTAACGATTCCATTCAGAGGATATTGACCGCAAAGAAATATGAGAAAGAGTTCCAAGTCTGGAAATGTTTGATATATTGATCTGCAAAGTGGTTAACACAGATGTATTAATTAGTAAATAGTGCCAGGCATGGTGGCTCATGCCTGTAATCCCAGCACTTTGGGAGGCGGAGGTGGGAGGATTGTCTGAACCCAGAGGTTCTAGACCAGCCCAGACAATTGGTGAGACCTCGTCTCTACAATAAATCAAGAAAAATTAGCTGAGCACAGTGGCACATGCCTGTAGTTTCAGCCACTTGGAAGGCTGAGGCAGAAAGATCACCTGAGTTCAGCAGGTGGAGGCTGCGGTGGCTGTGAGCATGCCACTGCACTCCAGTCTGGGCAACAGAGTGAGACTCCGACTGAAAAAAAAAGTTAGTAAATAGTTACTAAGCTGCACACTTAAGATTTGAGTATATACATTGTATGTCATATTGCCATTGCAGCTTATCAAAAGAAAGTACAGTTATGAAGGATTAAGAGGCCAGGCTAAGTGGTGCACACCTGTAACTTCAGCACTTGGGGAAGTCAAGACAAGGGGATTGCTTGAACCCAGGCATTTGAGACCAGTCTAGGCAACATAGTGAGACTTCATTTCCAGAGATATTCAAAAAGTTAGATAGGTGTGCACCTGCAGTCCCAGCTACTCAAGAGGCTGAAGTAGAAGGACTGCCTGATCACAGGAGATTGAGGCTGCAGTGAGCTGTGATTGTGCCCACTTTACTCTAGACTGGGCGACAGAGACCTTGACTCAAAAAAAAAAAAAAATAACCAGAAAAAAAAAAAAATGTGTGTACTGGCTGGGCGCTGCAGCTCACGCCTATTATCCCAGCACTTTGGGAGACCGAGCCCACAGGTTTGAGACCAGCCTGGGCAACTTGGCAAGCCCTCATCTCTACAATAAATTAAAAAATTAGCCAGGCATGGTGGCATGTGCCTGTAGTTCCAACTACTTGGAAGGCTGAGGCAGAAGGATCACCAGAGCCCAGCAGGTCGAGGCTGCGGTGGCCGTGAGAGTGCCACTGTCCTCCAGCCTGGGTGATGGAGTGAGACTCCAATTCAAAAAAAAACCAGAACTTGTGTATTTATATGGATTAAGGATATTAATGTTTGACCAGGCATGGTGTCTCATACCTGTAATCCCAACACTTTGAGAGATGGAAGTGAGAGGATTGCTTGAGCCCAGGGGTTCAAGCTCAGCCTAGACAACTTGGTGAGACCTCATCTGAACAATATATCAAAAAATTAGTCAATGTTTTTGAGGTTCATTCATGCTGTTGATTATAGCCATTGTTTATTTCTTTTTATTGCCACGTAGTGTATCATATAGATACACCACAATTTATATTGACAAACAGAATTGATTCCAGTTTAGGGCTAATATGGATAAAGCAGCAATGAATGTTCTTGTACAGGTGTTTTGGGGAACATATGTTTTTATTTCTCTCAGATAAATACTTAGAAGTGGTATTGCTAGATCATATGGTAAGTCTATGTTTTAATTTTACAAGAAACTTCCAAATTATTTTCCAAAGTATTTGCACCATTTTAACATTCCCACCAGCAGTATAGGAGAGTTCCAGTTACTCCGCATAGTTGCCAACTTGGCATAAACATGTTTTGAATAAATAAACAAGAGAATGGCAGTCCTGTCTCCTGGGAAGAGCTGTCTTCTCTTGCATAGATGACCCAGAAGTTCCTCTAAATTCAGTTCACAATGGGAGGAGACATGTCCAGGGTAGCAAGGAATAAAGTAAGAATAATGACAAGCTCAAACTTCACTTAACCCCTTGGGATGCCTTATTTTTACTGGCCTACATCCAGCAGCAAAATTTAAAAAAAAAAATTTAAGTTTCTAACCAAAAAAGGCAGGCAGGGCTTGGTGACTACGGTGGCAGCAGACAGGATTTAGATTAGGTTTGAGGAAGACCTGCTTCTTGGTTTACCAGGAGACATCTGTATGAGAGGATTAGATGGAGTTCCCTTAGGTAATATTTCTCCAACCAGTGTTTAAGTGACACCCCCACCGTCCCCTACTCCCTTGCACCAGGATCATTAGAGAACTTGTTAGAAATTTAAATTTCTGTTCTTGGACAACCCTCCTCCACCCCCCTACTCCACTACCCCAACCCCACATACCAACAAACGCAGACTACCTGAATCTGAATTTTTGGTGTCAAGGCCTAAACAGCCCTTCTGGGCTCTGGCAGATTGAGCATTGACTATGGTGCAATTTTGATAAAGCCCTAGGGGAGAGGTGGTGCCCTACCCTTCCCAACTCAGGTCTACTCATGGCCCTGCCAGGCTGGGGCAGGGGGATCCGTCTCTTCTGGCCAAAGCTGTCACTACCAAGGCTAAGAAGCTGGTGTGACTCCCCCATTCCTCTCCACCTCAACACTCTCCCATCCCTGTTTTCCCAAACAGTCCTTTTCCTCCCAGCCTCAGTCCCTGCTCAAGGATAGGCATCTTCCCTGCCAGGATATAGCTTTTCCTTGTGGCTCTAGCCTCTTCCCTTCCTCCCACTTTGACTTCCCAGCAAGCAGCTGCTTGGAGTCACAGATTCCTGGCCCCATGCCTAGCCTGGACTCAGACACATGGAAGGCACTCAATTCATACTTGCAGAATTACATCAAAGTGCTTATGATATTTATCTCTGGTTTGCAGTAGTTGATGATTTTGTTTACATGCTCCTTTATAATAAACATTAAAAAGTAGTTTTGCGCCGTGCTCGGTGGCTTAGCCTGTAATCCCGCGCCTTTGGGAGTCTGAGGGGAGTGGATTGCCTGAGCCCACGGGTTCGAGACTCAACTGGGCAACTTGGCAAGACCTCATCTCTACAATAAATCAAAAATGAGCCGGGCGTAGTAGCACGCGCCTGTAGTTCCAGCTACTTGGAAGGCTGAGGCGGAAGGATCGCCGGAGCCCAGCAGGCGAGGCTGCGGTGGCCAGGAGCGGCCACTGCACTCCAGCCTGGGCGACAGAGTGAGACTCCAACTCAAAAAAAAAAAAAAGTAGTTTTGTTTTGTTTAACAAAAATTAAATTTATTTTCATCGAATTGAATTTCTTTTCACTTTGACATTCTATCCTTTGCACCTTCCTCGGCTCCGCCCTTCCTCAGCTCCCTCTGTCTTTTTAGCCCCTTGCATGCTTGATCTTCCTGGTTCTTTCTGGGTACACCAAGAGGCAACTCTGGCAGTAAGTCTCGGTTACCTGACATCCTAGCAAGTGCCCCATCCCAAATATGTTCTCCTTCTTCAGCCATCTTCTCAGATATCTCTGGAAGAAAGGTACTATTATTGTTTGGCAGAAAGGTACTATTATCTTTTGTTTTTTTTGAGTTGGAATCTCATTGTTACCCAGGCTGGAGTGCAGCGGCATGCTCACAGTCACCATCGCCTCGACCTGCTGGTCTCAGGTGATCCTTCCACCTCAGCCTTCCAAGTAGCTGGAACTACAGGCATGCACCACCATGCTCGGCTAAATTTATTCATTTATTTTTTACTTATTGTAGGGACAAGGT